AACTGTATGTAGAAGATGTGTTAAAAATGTATGTATTATGAAAGTGAAGTTAAGCAAATTATCTTATATCAAACTGGGTTTTCCTAACCCTAAACGAACCTTATCCATAGCTGTGTCAGGTTGTTGTTGTTGTTTTTTTTAAAAAAGTATCTATTTATTTTCTTTTAATTTGAAAAAGCATTGTTGTCCTGCTGATATTGGTGTAATTTGGTTTGCTAATTTGGAGGACTTGTTTTGTTACTTTATCACTAGAATCAGTAGAAAAATAGTCTGGCTCACAGGATCTAGACTTTCAGAATAAAGCCTGTCATATGCTGCTTCCTTCAGACAGCAATACGCTTCCTGCATGCTACCCTTTTGAAAATCCCATTGCTTCATGCACCTAGCTTCCCATAGTCAGACCGATCTCCACACTTAGGAGTGTGTGAAACAACAACAATAACCCCAGAGCTAGCAACCTAAACACTAAAAGATTTTTACTGTTTAATGGGGCGTTTTCTTTTGCAGGAATTTTGCCATTTTTACGGTAATGCTCACCTTGCCACGTGCAAGTGTTCAACCAAAAAAAAGTCCCTCCTGACACTTGCAAGAGCACCATCACTGCATCCCAGGCCTAGCAATGCCCAAGACAATTGTGACTGGTTTAAAGAAATACAAGCTACCTACATTTTTTCCCCATAGTACAAAATTAGCACATGGTCAAACGGAAAACGCAGGCGAGTAGTGACCATCACCTGTCGAGGCAATATTCATACTGAATGTAGGGAAAATTGGATGTGAGACACACGGAAATCAGTTTACAGGTGGGCTGTCTGTTAACGTTAATAATGGTTGCATTTGTTAGCTAGTTTGCGACTAAATACCACGAAATATGATGTTATTGTACATTTTCCATTTTCTAACACTACATGCCTGTATCCTGAATCACTGCCAGCCAGGCAGCATCTGTCATGTGGGGCAGTTTGTATTTCTCACAGCCAATATCTTACAATATCGTCTGGTAAGACATGGCAACAATCAATATCTCCTCCTTTTTGGCTCACTCAGAAAACTACAGCCAATGACAGTCAAGTTGGGTCAGCCTCACATACTTCTTGGCTCTTGGTTGATGCTGCCACTTCAATGGTCAAAATTCACAAAAGCTGAACTCCATGTGATGTAAGGATGCAAATTTGCTTTGTCACGGGAAGCGTTTATTTGTTGTTGTTTTTTATTCTCCCCTTCGCTTGCATTTTATGGAAGTGAACAGGAGGGGGAATATTGCCCTTATGAATTCAGTCACACCTGCCTCCAGCGCTGACACAATGCAAGGTAGGTCTCGCTGTATAGTAGAAAAATAGATCATGATTGTCTTCTACTACCCACCATCTATTAAAACTGGCACAGGTACACCGTAGATCTCCTCTTGGTAAGAGTAAAGAAAAATCAATAAACTACAACTACTTCTGATCTTATCAATGGTTTCAGTACTTCAACCAAAAAACAAAGTTCCCTTCACACACACACACACACACACACACACATATATATGTATATGTATATGTATATATATATATATATATATATATATACATACATATATGTATACATAGTACTTTTTTATTAGTCACAAACTGCTTGCAGTTGATTCATGAATTATTAGCATTGCAGAATATGATACCCATTGACAAAGCAAGTCACAATCTTAAAGCTACAGACTGATGACACAGCTCAACAAACAAATCTGGTTTTAATTGGAAAACAGATGTTTACATTATCTGGAAAGACATCTGTCACAATGATGGAAATTTCCACCAGTAATACTACTGCAAGTGCTGTGACTGCTGTTTGATAAAATGTTGAATCATTCACATTACACACCTATAGGTGTGTTGTGTCTGTTTTTTTTCTGTATCATTCACATATCTCTGTACATTTCCAGAGAATTTTCAACTGCTAATATTTCAAGAAATAAGAAAGATATGTCAACTGGACCACAGTGCATGAACACACCATGGCCCTTTAAAACACACACACACACACACACACACACACACACACAGAGTAAGGAGATTATGTATAAAGCCAACGTGCTTCTAGACGCCTACTGACTGACTGTTTGTCCTTACCCTTTCGTGTGATCTGAACTCTACTTGTCCTCTCGTTCTTCTGTTCTTCTTTTGTTCCAGTTTTGGTCTCACCACAGATGTCCTCCCTGGTGGATGGAGGGATGAAGAACAGGAGTAGAGAATGACAAGTTGGGTCCTTCTTCAGGACAAGAAGTGTAGAGAAACTTGTCAATCCCACTGCAGAGCTAAAAGAAAAAGAGTGACATCTTCATTTATATCCTATCCTCCTACCTCAGACCTTTTCCTCTTTATATATGTATATGTATATCTCCTGTGGTTTCTTTCTCCCTTTTTATCTCTCTCTTCTCTTAACAGTGTGACTCTCTCTCTCTCTCTCTCTCTCTATCTCTGCAGATCTTTGTTTTACTCCTTACTTTCAGTTATTTTCTCCTTCTCCTCTCACTCTTTCATGTGACGCTGTGCAGAGGTATAAGGAGTGAATGACTCCCTCCTCCTCGTACCACCCTCCCTCCCTCTTTCTTGTTGGTATTAACAGTGACACGGCAAGCTGCTCATTCACTGCCACTGATCCCTGCTACAGAGAGAGAGAGAGAGAGAGAGAGAGAGAGAGAGAGAGAGAGAGTCAGTGGGGGGCGATGAGGTACGACACAGAGGAGGTTGTAATTAGACACAAAAGCACACACATGCACACGCACACATACAAGCAATTTCTTGGGTTGATTGCAAAACTTGAGCACCATGTAGTCCTTCTCCATCTCCTCTTTCATTCTCAAAGCATCGTATAAGCAGTTGCCTCAGCCTATCTATCCCACTGCACTCCTTAAATTCAGAAATGCTCTGGGCTGAAAGAGGCTCTGCAGGTGAAAAATGAACAGACAGACAGTTGAACCATGATTGAATCCTTGATGACATCATGCATTGTTTCCTCAAAACACACTAGGTATAATAATGTCAATGTGCATTATGAAGTTACAGTACTAAATGAGTTGAAGACCAAGGAGACAGCTACATCTAGTGGTGATAGTGAAGAACTGTCTCACACTGGAAGACAAAGCCAAAGATGACAAACATAACTGCTGTTACTCTGCTATCTCCCATAGCTCCTTTTTATGCCTCTGTGCCGGTGAGGGCTGTGGTCTGAGGCATCATGTTTTCAAGTTTTTCATCCATCAGTTTATAAATCTGTACATCTGAACACCAAAGAGTTCTTCGCTTTAAGGGAATTTTGTCTAAGTCGGCACAAACGTCTACTTGGACTCAACAATGAACTGATTAGATTTTGATGGTCAAAGGGCAAGGTCACTGTGACCTTGTGTTTTGAATTCATCCACTGATTATGACAAAATTCCACACATACGTCTGATAGGATGTAATGATAAAGTGATGACATTTTATATCCAAAAGTTCAAAGGTCAGCTTTACCGTGACAACATAATGTTCTGCAAAGCTGTAACTCGGGAACAGAAGAGGAGACATTTGGTTGGATATTGAATTTGTGACAGTAATCTGGGTGTCCACCTTGAAACTGTGGTGATTGTATAGATTCTCTGTGTTGCTGGGTTGAAGATGTGTGTGAAGCATCCGCATTTTACAGTATGTAGCTCCTTTCCAGCAACATTTGAAGCATTGTCAACTGTTATGTCTACATATGAGTCTGAACAGACATGGATGTTTGTGAAGACATACAACCACAAGGCGGTAACTCCAGATCTTCCTCTCTTAATGCCTTCTTGTATTATTCTCCTTTTGCCTCTCCTCTCCTTCACATCTCCTCCCTCTTTTCTACACTCCCACTATCATCAGATTTCTTGCAATCGATGGATATAAGCCTGTTCTTCTCTTGCTCTGACAGTTAAAGTGTGTTGGTCTATGTTGCGTATTTTTTTGGATCCCCGTCCTAACAGGATGGATATTGATGTTGACTGATGTCATGAGAAACAGAAAACCTATTGTGTTTAGTTAGGGTGAGATGAAAAGAAATAAAATACTCAAACACAATATCTGTCTTTGTCTCTTATTCCAAAGGATTATTTATTGCTTGCAAACAAGAGCCTCAATGTACGCCTGGGGACAATGCACACACGACTCAAGAGAAAATTTGTTACATGCAAAATATAATTCTTTGTTACAAACAGGTGCATGCTTAGGGTTTATTAGTTCTGTTTTTTATTAGACGAGGAGGGTGTAGACTGTCCCTGAAGGGTGAAATATTTTTCCTTGAGCCTCCCTGAGTGACTGGGGAAAATGGGAAAATGCATGACCCTCCCTCCACCATTAACAGCCCTTTTTGTAGTCAGTATATTTTGACCAAATAGGTGTTGGAGCCAATATTTGAAAATTCAACTATAATTTCCGTTTATACAGTTTCTGGCCATGATAAATGGTGTGATGTGAGCCATTTTTAAAGAGAACATGCCTTTGACACCCACCGACGGGTTTTGGGGTTCAGATAGCCTAGTAGCCTATTTAAATCAGCAGCTGGGTGCTGTTCGATTTCACTGTCTTTTGTCTGTGCTGCTCTCTGCTCTGATTCTCACAGACACAGATCTATGCTATAAGATTTTTAGTTTTCTAATTGCACTAAATAAAGGTTACAGAAAAGTGTGCACACACTCAGGCCAGGTGCAGGATAGCACATGCTGTCGAGGTAAAAGCCGAGAATATCAGGAAATTGAATTATAGCTCCCAAACATTTAATGTAACCCAACATTCATGTTATGAGAATTGTTGTGTTAACATGCTAATGTGTTTATACCTGCCAGAAAAATACTGACATAATGATTCTCAACTCCCTCTCCATGTTTTGTGCTTCTACATGTCCACATCTGAATGTAGCCCATGTCTGCACATATGAAAGCCACAGCAGGAGGTGGAGGAGGAGGAGGAGGAGGAAAATTGCGGAGTTTGGCCACTTCCGCACCATGTGAGCAAAGGGGACTGAAGCTTATTTGCTCCCAGTTGGACCCACATCCTCCGGGATACAGCACCAGCCCGGCTTGGCCGAGCTTTACATCCGCCAGAGGAAGCGAGATCAAACGATAGACAGAGACCAGAGTCCAGGGAAGAGGCATCAGCAGCTGGGTGCACACAGACAGTCCGAGAGCTCAGACCAGCCGCGAACATGACTGCAGACGTGGCGGTGTCTCTGTCGATGCTTGTGGGGATCGTCGCGATGAGCGATGTGACCCGCAGGTTGTTGAGCAGGGCCCTTGCGGATACCGGGCTTGCTGTGTACGCCATGGAGCTCGTGTCCACCTTCCAGCTGTGCTGCTGCACGCACGAGTTAAAGCTGCTGTCTGAGGTGGGCGGGATCGAGCCTCAGCTCGCGCTCACCTTGACGTACCTGGCGGCCGTTGTCCACGGGTTCACCTTCAACGGGGCCACTGGGAACCCCTCCGGTGCGCTCGAGCACGCCTACCATGCGAGGTTTTCAGGCGGATGCGCCCTGCTGCGGATTGCCTGCCAGTTCGCCGCGGCTGCCGCAGCGCGATTTGCAGTGCCGGTGATTTGGGGTATTGGGTTGTCGGGACTGCATGTGCGGCATAAGCTGCTCGGTTACCGGTGCATCAGCCCCATTCACGCTCCACTGCTCAAGGCCGCTGCCGTGGAGCTCGCGTGCTCTTTTGCAGTTCAGACTGCTATAACGCACACGCGATCGGTGGAGGCGAAATACCGCGTGCACGCGGTGGCTGCGGTTATTGCAACAGTAGTGTATGCAGGTATGACCGTGCCTTCACTCTATTCTGTTGTTTATTTTAACGTAACGTGATTAATTGATGTTATGTGTACTAATAGGTTGGATACATCCCAACTCCAGTGTTACTGATATGATAATGTACAAGGTCAGCCAATGAGAGTCTGAGATTCCGTGTCTTGCTCATTGGCACATGCAGGTCTCTGATTTCATGCGGTACAGTTTCCTCAGTTTCTAACTTGTAAAAAACACAGAACAAATGAAATATTTGAGATTTGTTAGGCATCTCTTCAGTGTGTAATCATGTGTTTTCTCTTTGTGGTGAAGGTGTAGATCTGTGATACTTACCTTGCTTTGCCACTTTTGCAAAATGACAGGAGGCAGGGGCCAACTAATAAAGTGCAGCCCTGCCAGTGAAGGTATATGCAGTTGTGTTTGTAGGATTTGAAGACATTTGGAGCTTAGTATGGGAACCTCCCCAGCACCTTTTCTTTTTATTAACTCTATTATTAAATCACAAAATAATTTCCAGTGTGAATCAGTTTATTTTTATTGTGACTCAGAAAATGGTTTGCAGGCCACCCAGCACCCTAGGCCCGGACCGTGAGTAGCACTGGTGTAGATATTATGACTGCAGTGGCTTTATGCAGATGAAATCTTAGAGGCCTGCTGATGCCCAAATGTGTGAAATGTATGAAGCTGGGCCTGTACATTACAATACACAAACTAATACATTTATGTGAACTAAAAACAGCCATTCAGTATGTTACACCCAGTAAGTGATGCTGAAGGGCCTGATGTGTGCATCATTTACCTTGTGTAACAGTGTTTATACATAAACCTCAAAGATGTCCTCTTCTCAGAACTCACCATCTGATGACTATCTAATTACATCTGTGACAAAATTTCCTAAAGTGCACAACCACAAAGTTTCTTGAAGCTTATCAACAATCTGACCAATCATAGCCCCTTTAGCTGTTGTCAAAGAACTGTCAGTAGTCTTTTTTGGCCAGGATAATAAAATAAACGAGGAACACTGAATGGGTCAACACTGAGAATTTGGAAGTGAGCTCAGCACTTAGCAACAATGTGATTAAAACTGGTTTCTTTCTTGCCCATCTTTTCTTTACCACATATAATACATATAAATCTTAATGCCACTGTACATCTTCAACTTGTTTATTTAAAACTTGTAAATGAGAGAACAGTGGCTGCAATTTTTGGCTTTTAAAAGTTCATTAATATATATGTGTGTTTGTGTGTGTGCAGGTGGCAGTTTGACAGGAGCAGTGTTTAACCCTGCGTTGGCCTTCTCCACACAGTTCCCCTGCAGTGGAAACTCCTTCCTGGAGTACTGCCTGGTCTACTGGCTCGGCCCGCTGTTGGGTAAGACCCACTGATGCACACTGATATCAGGGTATCTGCAAGCCTGAAAAAGTCTTAAACACTGAGATTTCTCAAAAACAAATTAATTAATTTAAAAAGGTCTTAAATATTTTTTCTAGTCCGTTGTAGGGAGTAACATTAGTAAATTTAGGGTCCCTATGCAGTATGGAAAAGTACAGAATTTTATTTTTGAGATTTCTGGCTCTGGATAAGTATGGGGGGAAAAAAGAAAAGAGAGTAAGGAAAATATTTGTGTTTCAAGACTATTACACATCTTTTGTTTTTTACAATATAAAATTCTGAATTTGATTAATTGAGTTTTCGGTCCTGCCCCTCAGATAGTCCGCCACTGTTCCAGACGGAAATACTGTACTTATTAAACTAATTTTACTAAGCAGTTTGCTTCGCATACAGATTGTCAGTGGTGGAAAAAGTACTGACATCTTATACTTCAATAAAAGTAGCAATTCTACCATGTACTAATACTCTCTCAGAATGTTATAGTATTACTGTATTATAACTAATATATACAGTACAGGCCAAAAGTTTGGACACACCTTCTCATTCAATGCGTTTTCTTTATTTTCATGACTATTTACATTGTAGATTCTCACTGAAGGCATCAAAACTATGAATGAACACATGTGGAGTTATGTACTTAACAAAAAAAGGTGAAATAACTGAAAACATGTTTTATATTCTAGTTTCTTCAAAATAGCCACCCTTTGCTCTGATTACTGCTTTGCACACTCTTGGCATTCTCTCCATGAGCTTCAAGAGGTAGTCACCTGAAATGGTTTTCCAACAGTCTTGAAGGAGTTCCCAGAGGTGTTTAGCACTTGTTGGCCCCTTTGCCTTCACTCTGCGGTCCAGCTCACCCCAAACCATCTGGATTGGGTTCAGGTCCGGTGACTGTGGAGGCCAGGTCATCTGCCGCAGCACTCCATCACTCTCCTTCTTGGTCAAATAGCCCTTACACAGCCTGGAGGTGTGTTTGGGGTCATTGTCCTGTTGAAAAATAAATGATAGTCCAACTAAACGCAAACCGGATGGGATGGCATGTCGCTGCAGGATGCTGTGGTAGCCATGCTGGTTCAGTGTGCCTTCAATTTTGAATAAATCCCCAACAGTGTCACCAGCAAAACACCCCCACACCATCACACCTCCTCCTCCATGCTTCACAGTGGGAACCAGGCATGTGGAATCCATCCGTTCACCTTTTCTGCGTCTCACAAAGACACAGCGGTTGGAACCAAAGATCTCAAATTTGGACTCATCAGACCAAAGCACAGATTTCCACTGGTCTAATGTCCATTCCTCGTGTTTCTTGGCCCAAACAAATCTCTTCTGCTTGTTGCCTCTCCTTAGCAGTGGTTTCCTAGCAGCTATTTGACCATGAAGGCCTGATTGGCGCAGTCTCCTCTTAACAGTTGTTCTAGAGATGGGTCTGCTGCTAGAACTCTGTGTGGCATTCATCTGGTCTCTGATCTGAGCTGCTGTTAACTTGCCATTTCTGAGGCTGGTGACTCGGATGAACTTATCCTCAGAAGCAGAGGTGACTCTTGGTCTTCCTTTCCTGGGTCGGTCCTCATGTGTGCCAGTTTCGTTGTAGCGCTTGATGGTTTTTGCGACTCCACTTGGGGACACGTTTAAAGTTTTTGTAATTTTCCGGACTGACTGACCTTCATTTCTTAAAGTAATGATGGCCACTGGTTTTTCTTTAGTTAGCTGATTGGTTCTTGCCATAATATGAATTTTAACAGTTGTCCAATAGGGCTGTCGGCTGTGTATTAACCTGACTTCTGCACAACACAACTGATGGTCCCAACCCCATTGATAAAGCAAGAAATTCCACTAATTAACCCTGATAAGGCACACCTGTGAAGTGGAAACCATTTCAGGTGACTACCTCTTGAAGCTCATGGAGAGAATGCCAAGAGTGTGCAAAGCAGTAATCAGAGCAAAGGGTGGCTATTTTGAAGAAACTAGAATATAAAACATGTTTTCAGTTATTTCACCTTTTTTTGTTAAGTACGTAACTCCACATGTGTTCATTCATAGTTTTGATGCCTTCAGTGAGAATCTACAATGTAAATAGTCATGAAAATAAAGAAAACACATTGAATGAGAAGGTGTGTCCAAACTTTTGGCCTGTACTGTATATTAATGTCTTTATCATTATAATGTTGCAGCTGGTAAAGGTGTTCATTTTAATTACTTCATATACTAAATATAATACATCAGCATCAGAATATTAATTCAAAATATTAATCAACAAGATTAATATTTTGAATTAATATTCTGAATCTGCAAACTAACTGAAGTTATAAAATAAATGTAGTGGAGTACAAAGTACAATATTTGCCTCTGTGATGTAGTAGAGTTAAAGAAGTATAAAGTAGAATAAAATAGAAATACATATGTACCTCAAAATTGTACCTGAGTAAATTTACTTTCATGTATATCTTCACTGACTCACATTCAAATGTATGACACAGTGAAATATTAGAGGTGTAAAATGTCTATTTTCAAGCTGCAAGGCTCTTTGCAAATTGCCCTTATCTACCAAATTAAAAGTTTCTTTTCTTTAAGTAAATTAAATCTTTCCAAACATAAAAATATACTTTTTCCTCTTCTTCGTCTCCTCTTTTATACTTTGGCTCTTCCAGGTATGATGAGCTCAGTGCTGTTGTTTGATAAACTCGTCCCTCTGCTGTCAAGGAAATCACCGTCTCTCCATCTCCCCCTGGAGACTAAGAAGAGGACATGAGCTTTGCCGGGCAGCGTTTATAACCCAGAGTACATGTGAAGATGTTGTTACTGACAGACTGTTAACCTGCTGCTGATTTCAGTCATCACACGTTAGGAAAAAGTACAGCACTTATATGCACTTTTCTAAAGACTTCAAGACCTCAAGAGCACATCTTAGAAGCTAAACAGAAAACTTAACTCATTTAGTGTTTTTGTAGGCTAAATCTCATAAACAAGGCATGCAGAAATTGATCGGCCAAGTTTTACTTTACAAGGTGGTTGATCAAACACTAAAACCAATTGCTATGCAGTATACACTCATCTGATTTAAACATTTTAGACATTTCAACATTTTTGGGGGGGTCTCTAACCAGAACCAGTATCACCCCCACAACTGTTCACACAACACATGGGAAACATCAGTTTCTGTTACTAAAATATCAGTCAGTTTCAGTAGCTAACAAAAGAGTATGCCTTGTGCTTGCATGATCTTAAGGCAGATTACAGCATGTCAATGTCAAGTCCTGCAAACAAGTCTTGTAATTGCAATAATATACATTGATCCAAGGTTTTTTGTTCAATATTATACTTAAGCTAATTAACTAATTATAAACTGAAACATTTATAGGCCTGATGGAAATTTGAGAATTGGATGATCTTAGCGCAGTGAGCCTTGCCTTTATTTGTATAACACTTATCTGAGAAAAGTTAGTGTTATTGTACATATATATGTAATTCATGTTTATATTTAATGACATTCCAGAGCCAAGCACAGTGTAGTAATGAACTGTACACAGGTCTGTGCCTTTGAATTCTCTGTAAAAACTGGAAAGGCATTTTGAACTGTGAATTCAGTAATTTGTTGGACCCCATTTTGATATAAGATTCATTATCTGAGTGATGGTTTATTTTAATTTCTAAATGGTGCTCAGTAGAGCTTAAACACTTTCTTGATTAGATAATTGACAGAAAAATGAGATTCAACATCTGAATCTTCCTCTTCCTGCAACGAGCCAAACAGTGTCGGAGAAACACTGATTTGTGACGTGAAGATGCTTTATTCAGTGTATTTACTAGTTTTAATCACCTGGACCGTTTGTTTTGGGGAGGAAGAGACCTCTGAGGATAAAAAAACTCCTGAACAGTGATCACAGAAGGAATCCTAACTGGGATATCATGTTTGGCACATGGGAGAAGTTTCTGCTGAGTGCAATCTGCAATCCTCAACCGCTAGATGCTCCTTTAACAGATCACAAGAAAAAAAAAAAAAAACTCATACAAAAACTATGCATTTATTGACAACTTCATACAAAGACATTTCTTCTCCTTGGCAGGAAAATCAGATATTAAATTGGTCATTAGGTACAAACAGAAACTCAGTATTTTTTTTTGTTTTGAGTCAACAACAGCATCTGGGTATTTGCGGCTGCATCTCAATAGTCTACAGTAGCTGACTTTGCTGTGTACAACACACTTTATTCATACGACTTGGACAAATTAGTAGAGATGATGGTAAGCAGAAAAACAACAAAACAATACAACAGTGAGCTTCAATGCAGCACATAAGAGAAAATGTAGAAAGTTACAAAAGCCTAGTGAGATGACTTACATGGGAACATTCTTTTGTTTGACAAGAGAGTATAAGTCAGAGCTGAGAGCCTTAAAGAAGTGCTGCTGTCCTCTTCTCCAATCCTATGACGCAACACTGGTGCTTTGATTGGCTGCTGAGATTACTCCCATCTACAGAAAGAGTCAGATAACACATGTATTAACCAGACTGCTCAAAATCTGTCACATTCAACTTTATTTAAGAAAATATTTTTGAGGTTTTATCATTGTGAGTTTATTATTTTGCTGTTTGTGAAATCTTTTATTTCATGTTAAGTCTCACTGTTGTTACCAGTGATCGACGTCTGCGTCCTCAAACTGACCAGCCTCCGTCGCTGTTGTATCCACCTCCATACCATCTGTCAACAACAAACATTCAATTTTAACAACACCTCATAAACAAGATCTTGTGAAATTAGCTTGTTTTTCATTTTCACTGCAGACTTGTCTAACAGAACACAACAAAGCCCCAATCATCGCCATTCCTTAAAGTATTTTCTTTATAGACATTACAAATACGCATCAGATGTAGTATATTTACACAAATCTGTCTTTGCTCTTTGTGAATTACTGGATAATGTAAGGGAGAAGTTAACTTTATATTTAACAAAAAGAGAAAGCCCTAGTTCAACTTTAATCAAAGGAACTTGAACTAGTTTTAGAACCAAATGATCTTAGTCTCAGGGAGAGACTTTACTCTCTTTGTCATCAGACTGCTGTGTGAATCAAACCTTCAAATTCAGCGTTGGTTTCTTCGGTTCGGACCCCAGCCATGTGGTACTGCTGAGCGACTGACTGGGCTAACATCCCCTCCAGCCTCTCCAGCGTAGCCTGGCCCTCCTGCGTGAGTGCCGACAGACCCTCATCACAGGTGTAAAACGTCGGGATGTCAGCATGGCCGTGCTCTAAATGTTGGAGGAGAGACGGTGGTTATAACAGCAGACATGTGTTTGGTATTGACTATACAGTAAAACTTTACATAAACTCTATTTAGCATTAATAATCAGTATTTTAACATAAAACTAGAGGTTTAAGAATATGAAAAAGCATTCAGTGCCAACTTTCTGTACTTTGGGTGTTTGATTCTCAAGGGACACAATTTGTCTTATAAAGGTTCAACAGAAGTACTTTAGTTGTGTAATTGTGCAGTGATGATTGCTGGACATCTTACCTGCCTCTGCAACCGAAGAGTCCAGGTAACAAATAGAGAGAGACAAACAGAGACAGGAGGAGGAAGTGGAGTCAACATTTTGTACTCAGTCTACAGCATGTTATATTATTCTGTCTGCTGAAAAACTGCTTACACAAGATGTAAAAACGGATAAAGACAAAAGAAGGAGAGAGATGGCCAAAACCAGCTCTCTTTCATCACTGTCCCTACATTTGTTTTGAACTGCTGTCTTTACCAAGCTGCTAAGCTGCATTTTCTTTTTTAAATCACATCATCAGACATTAGAACATCATAATCAACAAGAAGTTGTCATGTTAATATCTTATGACACTGTTGACAAGTCGCTCATAGACTGATGACAACAGAATGTGTGTGTGTGTTTGTATGAACACTGTACATGTGTGTATTTATGCGTTTTTTCCCTCACCAGCCTCCTCTACGTCGTACTCTTCTCCTTCAAAGTCATTGTCAGAGTCGTCGTCTTCTGGGTCAGGGTGCAGCGCCTGGCATTCACACATTGCTGAGAACATGGACTCCACTGCATATCACACACACACACACACACACACACACACAAAATTTAATTAAATTTAATTTAATTTCAATGATTAGGCTGGTAATATCCTATGATTTTCTAACAAAGAACCCATGAAAAGACCAAACCAACAATGTGTTACTGACCACTGACGCAGTGCTTGCCCATGCACGCACCACGCGGCTAAATGCTATTTTTGATGCAGCTATTTTTTTTTTTCTACATGCAGCTCTGCGTCCCTCCAACAGGTAAAACCTATATAGAACTGTAAAAATGAGAACAATCTGTTTAAAATGGTTTAAAAGAATACCTCAAAGAATACCAGAGGCAATGTGATGCAGCAGAGCAACACTGTGAGTGTTTTTAAATTCCACATTAAAATAAATCTATCTAATCAATGCTTCCTGTTGTTGTTATTGTTGTGTGCAACTAACTAGCTCCAACCAGACCAGGGGGGTATTCCAGAAAGCGGGTTATGTGAAAAGAGTAGGTTAACCATGAGATGAGGGAAACTCTGAGTTTTCCGTTCCAGAAAGAGAGGTAACTGAAACTCTGAGTCAGTCACCATGGTAACAGACTCTGTGAACATAACCTGCTCGCTGACAGGTTTTCTTCAATAAACCCTGAGTGTTTCTCTGTCTCCTCCCTCTTACACGCTGTTTCATTACCTCATTCATTCAGTCCGTGTCAAAGCTTGTATAGAAGCGCATTAATTAGCGGAGATTTACCATCTGTCACAGTCTAAATCCTGCTGGATATTAGTTTGTTACTCAGGACTGTCTTAAGTTACTGAGTTTATGCACATCAGTCATTTCTTTGGACATCAGTTTTTGTCTTTACATTCAAATATTACACAGCGAGAATTCACCCTCAGCTCAGAATCAAACCTCTGTCCTTTTTATATTTATTATTTTTATAACACTGTGCACAAGGATCAGACTGTCAGTCTGTCAGAGCAGCTCCCAAATGTTTATTGCACATAATGTGTAGGTCTAATTATTTAAATTTTAAAAATCGGTATGAAGCTTTAGACACGTAGTATCAATGACTAATGATCTCTATCACTGATGTCATTGGTCGCACTGATGGAACATAATTCCTATAGCCTAATATTGGGGATTATATGTTCATATTTCTGAGTGAGCAATGGTGCAGCATTTCACTGTCTTTAAATTTACTACATTTGTAGCTGAAATAAAGTCACTGAATGCTGTTGAGTCAAGATACAAATAGATGTGCAACATTTTAAAATCTACTGTATTTTAACCTCAACGTCTTTTCAAGTGCAAATCACCAAACATATTATTACTGGGTCAGACTGTGAGTTTACAGTCATGTCTTTATGTCTTTGATCTATAGCCTAGCCTATATGTTTTAAATCTTCTGCCTCCTGTGTTTTTCCCCATCAGATTAAATCTCAACAAATATATTATTACATATTATTAATATAATGTAATGTATCTACAGCCTGATACACAGTCAGATTCCACCACTTTATCTTCATTAAGGAAATGTAAGTCTGATAAATGATGAATAAACTTTTTTATTAACTTTATGGTTAACTTATTTACACTTTCCTAGCTCTGACTCAGGCTCTTCTTTTAAAGATAAACGTGCACCGTCTGCTACACGTGCATTAATATCTCTACATCCACTGGATTAAAATGGAGGCGCTGTCTTTTATTTACCTGTTGCCATGGTGAATCGTGGAGTCGGAGCTCCATTGATGATGGCTTTTTATTGTCGGCTTAACTCAGAGTGAACATACTCAGAGTTGACTGAACTAACTCAAATCAGCTGTTCTGGAACCGGTAACTCAGAGTTTCCCATCTCAGGGTAAATCAACTCAGAGTTCAGGGTTAGACTCAGAGTTTGTTGAACCTCCTACCTGGAATACTCCTCTGGTTCGTGGGCAGTGCAGTAAACTGAAGAGCAGCAAAATAAATCTATAGTATAGACGAAGTGATATCTGTTGTTAACCAATTAATGGTTAACTGTTATCATTCCCAGTATGGACAGTAAATCAGACAATTGTCTTTGTTTTTATCTTACGATTTGTGGTTTTGCTAATATGATTAATGCAGTTTAAAATCCATCTGATCACTTGTGTGGTTTGTATGTTAAGCTGTAACTAAGTCATTAGAATGTTACCAAAACTGGTTAGAATGAAAATATGACCCCAGCTCAAGCAGTAAAAAAATCTTCCAGTAAAGGATCAGAATCAGTCTGACCCTTGTCCTCAGTGTGATCACTCACATGCCACCTTGTCGCTGGGCACAAACCGAATCTCTGTGATTGGTCCATCTTCATCATCATCCCCATCGCTGCTGTCACTGCTGTCATCTCCTTCGTCATCAGCTGCTTTCTCTGCCATTTCTGCCTCATTATCACCTGCGAGGACAGAGGGTGAAAACATAGGAGTGACACACGCAATTAGAAACCTCCCTTTCTGGTTGTACATTAATCATTATGCCACACTGTGGTTCATATAACGGTGTCCAATTTTTTACATACATGAATAAAACACTACACACGGGTACCTTTCAGTGACACAAAAATTGAAAGTACTCATACAAGAACCTGTATGAATTCTTGTGCAGGGAAATATTTAGTTTCTGTGTTTTGAGTTCACAGACCCACAAACTCCCTCAAGAAACATACCAGAAACTAAATATTTTACTGCACAAGGGTTCAAACAGGTACATACAGACACCAAAGAATAAATTAAACATGTGTTTAGAAGAAGGAACTTTTAGTAGTGGGTATAACAAACCTACCATTATTTACTGACCTTAAGCAAGAAATCAGGACATACAGTAAAAACTGATAGATTGATCCTACAATACAATTTTTTTTTTCACTATGCGTCACTGTCACCTTTGAGTTTGCCATTGACCATGACATAGAGGTGTTCTTGAGGGTAAGCGCTGACGTCTCTGGAAATGGCATGCAGACCGATGTTGGGATATTCCAAGGCGAAACCCATCCCTGAGCCGTCAAACCACGACAGGCGCCTGCATAGAGGAAAACACACGTGAAGCTGACAGTTGTTGGTTCATAAAGGGTGCACAAACATAATGAAAGCTGCTTTTACAGGCTTTTGATAGTGGCAGGAAATAGAAGGTGATGACACAGTTGCAAGACCCCAACAAAAAATGAATATGTCACCTTTTTTTAGGTACTTTTCCAAGCATGCAAAACAAGTCCTGAACAGTTTCCATAGCTGCATAAACGTTAAACCTTTATTTCAAATTCAGTGCCTGATTTTAAGCATAAAGTTTTAAAGTAGGAGCCAGTACCTGAAACTCTTGGGGCTAAGATCATTTCAAATGCAATAAAAAGAAAAAACTTAAAAGAAAAAAAAACTCAACAGTTTTGGTGTCTGAGTTGTAATGTTTTATTTATGTTAAAATAGCCACTATTTAAGGCAAAAATAAAAAATACGAATGTAACAGGTGAATCCAAACTTTTGAACGATAGTGTAACATTTCTAATAGGACTTTCAGGGTGGCAAATGATCTGTTTTACCAGCCACATGAATTTCTAATCATTATTTTGAAAATGTCTACTCCGGAAGTGGTTAGCAAGAGCAGTGGTGGCGATGTTGTCTGGCATGTATCTGTTATTGTTGTCGCTATCCTACATATTGGTCACGTTTAACACAATATCTGCACAAAGCATTGAGAACATATCAGATTAAACACTAACCTTAAACTAAAACTGGGGGTTTAAAGACAAAAATAAGCGCCACGTGCATCACTTACGTTTCGGCGACGTACAGCGTGCCGCAGCCCAGCTTCTGGCCGTCAAGCACCGCTGTGGTGTCAGCTTGCTCATGCCGAACTCCCTCGGTAGGAGGACGGAGGTTTTTCAGTAAAACCATCGTCCCTGCAACCGTTAACGTCTGCGGACCCGCTAGACTAGAGATGGAAGAGGAAAGAAACGGACTGTGGTGTCTACAAGAAGCTGCGTGATCTATTTTGTGCCACACCAGCTTCCAAGTTGCTAGTTTGACCCGGGACAACTTCCCTGAAAATGAATGCTCGACAGCTTGAGGAGGATTTAAACTGAGAGCCCGGGTCGTGCGTTTCTTCTCCGGGGATTACTCAACCAGGCCGAGCCGTTCAGAGAATGAACACGGGCGGTGTAATGTCTATGAAAAATACACACGTTAGCCAAGTAATGTTACAGCTTGTGATGTTACCGGACGCTACTGCTCAGTCTCGACCTTCAAAGATGGAATATCGCGACAAGATGTATTGATGGGGGGGGGGGTGAGTCACGTGACCATCACGGAGAAAGTGCGGTTACGTCTGTTTGTACGTAACATCTCTATTCCCGTATCCACACTGCGCACAAAGATCTCCTCCTAATTTGAGTATTTTATTTTGAATGTTCTTGACGGAGATATTGGTTCATTATTATCTCTAACTTGACGCCTTGGCGCTCATACAGTTAAGTTAGTAAATATTTGGCGTCCTCCTGTGGTAACTTTGCGTAACTACATCCCGTTTTATTGTGAAAATGTTTCCCGACATTTAATGTACTGTCACGTCTACAAGTATATTTTTTTAAAGTTTGTTAAATAAGATTGGTTTGCATTTCCCATTCTATTATAAGAGAAGTATTGAATATTGTACGTTAAAAACAAAATCCAATCCAAAATAAAACAAAAACAGTACTGGGAAAACAGGCTCATAAATAAATAAACTATTGGGAAATGAATGTATTTTGAATCAGTTGATTAAGGAAATTAAAACTGACAAAAATGTAAGGTTTAGAAATACTTAAAAAATCTACATAATGGTGATAATTGAAATTAAGAAATTAAACACACATAATAAACAAACAAGTGAATAATAACTATAGATAGATATATTGATAGAATTAATGAAGCCTACTTTGACTCATTTTACAGAAATACATTTAATTTATTTACATTTATCACAAAAGTATTTAATGTAAAGTGTAATGTGCTGTTATGTCTATATGCTTTTTTTAATTTAACTTTATTAATGAAAGTTAGTTTTTTATTTTGCTTTTTAACATAGTGTTGAATATTGTAAATTAAAGGCACAATTCAATCCAATACAAAAATAAAAAGAAACAGGAAAAGCATGGTAAGGGGAAAATGATGGATGAAATATTTGGAATATATTTTTAATCTGTTTTTGGGGGATTTTAAAACTGACAAAAGTGTGAAGTCTGGAAATACTTAAATAAATATATAAATGATATACTTACTTAAAGATAAATACATTTAATGTATGTAAATGTTAAATGTAAAAAATGAGGTGGTCAGCAGGGTGTTTTCACGGCAAGTCTGTAAACCTGTCAAATCTCTCCTGAAGAATAATCCATGTCTCTGCTCTCCCTCCTTTTCAGGATTTGAACAAATGTTTTTATAAACAAATGATTTCAGGAATAAAAATTAGGTACAGACAGGACATGTGTTTGAGGAGATGCCTGGGATGTTGGTTTTAATAACTTAGAAAACATTTATGTTACAGCAATACTACAGTAACAGTACAACAGAGAAATGGAAGGAGCCACATTCACATCCAGTGGTGCCTGTCTGAATGCAGATTAGTTGGACTGAACATTTTAAAACCAATAGATTTCTGCCACAGTGCCTTAAACAGATGCAAACTGGGTTCAGTGGAATGATTGAGAGGTGTTGGCATAAACACACACCTTAATCTCCCCATACTACTAAAACAGGTGGGGTGCTTCATCTTGCCTTGAAGAGTTTGGAGAAGGTTTTACTCTCCTTGGTGTCCAAATGCTGTGTCAGAGAATTTTCCATCATAACGACAAAAAAGAAATAAGGAGTAACAGACAGAATACTCAAGAGTTGTCCCACTGAAAATCTCAGCAGGGGCTGCTATCTATTTTAAGTACTAAGAGTCTAGTTGAGCTCATAAATGATATAAAATTATCCTGATACTCAGGATGCTGCCCCTGCACTGCTGCATTACAGGGATTTTCCAAAACAGCCTGTTTAAAATCTAGACACATTGTATTTGCAGTGGGATCTTGAAGATAACACGTTATGTAAAAGTAAACAAGTTAATTAGATTCTGCTCAGGGTATTTTATCTTATCTTTATCTAAATGATGTTTTTTTTCTCACAATTGAGTCCCACAACACCTGCACAACCTCAGGAAAGTACCTGAAAGAACATTTCGTAATTTAACCAGCAGTAAAGTCCAGCCACCTGGAACCCACATTATCTGAGTGTGAGAGAAGGACCAGTATGTATGTACCAGTAATCCCAGTTATCAGTTCAACAATTAAATCTTACTTGATGCTTTTGGCAAACCGAGAAGTTCTTCTGCACAAATTCTGCATTTGTGAACCAAAACTAAACAAAAGGTTCAAACATTTATGTAAAAATCAACTGATAATTGTCAGATTTTTTCTCAGTGCCTCCAAAGCTAAATATAAACCACTGATATAATCTGAAGTATAGACTTGATTTTTTTTTTTTTTTTTTTTTTTAATCATTACAGTATGTTTATCAAAGTTATCGTAAAGGATACTGTCGAACAACATTTGACTAAAGTTTCAGATCTTGATCTAATAAATAAGATTACTGGTAAACGTCTATGAATTGTCGAGCTTTTGCATCATTATAAGATTGGTACATACAGGCAACAGTAATTAAGTGCCCGACTCGCTAAAAAAAAAAACACATCAATTTTAAAAGGGAACAAAAGCAGAAAAAATAAACCTCCTACTTATCTGACAGTTTCTTTGTATGTGTATCTTGAGTTTGCTTTTTTTATGTCGACCTTTAAAAAAATCTTTTTACATTTTATGTTCCCTGACAAGTGACAGAAGCATTTCCCCACAGATGTTAAAAAAATACTCTTTTACTGGATAAGTTTGACCCTGAAAGACTGTTTCCCACCCGACGTGACCATAAACTGTGCACAGAATACACAAGATTTTACTGTATAAAAGTTAATGTTTTTAAAATGAATTATTCAGTAGTGTCATTTGTTTTGTGACATCTTAAGATAAAGAAATATTAAAAGCTTCCGACTAGTTTTAAGAAGATGCTAGAAGTGCGCTTTGTTTTCTGAAAACAAATGTGTTTATTGCACCTCAAAAGCTTCAAAGTTGAAAAGAAAGTGAACTCCATGACTTGGATGAAGGCCAATTCAAATATAATACTAGTTGAAATGTTTCTGGTGACTTCAGCTGATTGCCTTTGTTCTCTGTTTGGAACCAGGGCTCATTATATTATACTCTCATGCAGCGTGAGGCTCATTAGGAGAGACAACCAGGTGGTTTTGAAAATAGAGAGGCAAGGAAAGTAAAGCATGAGCACATCGGATGTGAATCAAGAGTCGTTGTTGTTAAAAGTCAAAGTTCCAAGTCTTTTCTGATTTTGTTGAGTCTAAAGTCATCAAATTTGTGATTCATGTCTGACTCAAGTCTAAGCATTGTGACTCGAGTTCACACCTCCGGTCATCAGTAACTTTTAAATCTAACATTCTGTATTTAAAAGGGGAAATCATTAGAAATTCAGGGTTAGGGGGAGCAACATGGTATTCAGGGTTAAACCAGGCCAGCCTCTTCCCATTAACAGCTCACAGCAGGATAAAAGTCATTTAAAGCCTAAACAGTGATTTGACTGTATGAAGCTGAAGGAATTCTTCCATTATGCCAAACAAAGAGACCACAGTCAACCCTAAAATTTATCTGCCACTATTATACCAGATAAAACTGTGTAAATCCCTTCAGTGATGGTTATTCAGAAGCTAAGATGACTGATAGAGAAAACAAAGTTGTTTGAGTGTGATCAGTAAATAAAGCTTTGTTCCCTCCTCCTGAAATGTTGAAAACCTTCAAAGATGTACGACACAGGGCTAAAAGTAAGCAGTATCCAGCTCTATGCAACAATCCTGTGACATTTCCCCTGGTGAACGGGCTCCACGCTGGTCTTATTTCACACAGTCAACGGCCGCAGAATCTCAAACAAAACAAGCAAACCGTTGATGAACTTGCAGTTGAAACCTTATCGATCCACACATCACTCACAGCAGCATCTCTCCTCTGCTCCTTCATATAGAAAATATAACACTATATTTTACAAGAGGACTAAGAGATCAGAACATCTATTATCTTACAAAGAACAGCGTACAGGCAGAGTATGTACAGCAAACATGGACCCACCGAGCCAAGGTCCTGTGAACATATGGACCCAATGAGTGACCAGTCTGAAACCGAACACTTTGGCTGTCGGACAGAACCTTGTTCAGCTCTAAACATCAAATGAATTAGGATTCTATATGTTACTGTTGGTTTTCTTTACATCTTCCAAAAGTTTGAGCTTCATGATCTAACCCCAGTTAGGTAACTGGAAAACTAAGTTTGAATGACAGTGTGGATGCTTCAAAGTCTATATTTATAGATCAGATATTCCTAAATCTGAGGACATAACTACTGAATTCTTTGCAGTTAACAGGATCACGAATTGAACAAATCCATCATAAACTGCCTGGGGGTCAGTTTTCCAAAATCTGTTCAGGTGATCCTTATCAATTTGAATAACATTAAGTCACTGTATTTAGCGTTCATTATTAACATGCTGCATCTACACCTTGGTAGCCATCTGGAAAATTGCACATTACCAGGGAGTTAAGTCTTCACAGCTGAGAGGCTGCAGGCAGAGAAAGTTTGGTGTTTCCGATAAAAAGTGTCCATCATTTAAGGTAAACATAATTTATAGAGTAAACTCTAGTGTCATGGAGTTTACCACTGGTATTAAGCACTGTGTAGACTGTACGAGTTGTTGAGGTGCACTTGAACGCACCATTAATAGGGAGGAGGAGCTGGTTCAGTTAAACTACCTCAGTAGTTAGCGTGTTGAGCTGATCATCACTGTCATATCCATGTAAAAAGGCTGTCACTGGCTGCTCCACATTATTTGTTTTATTGGATCACGATTTGCCCAGGATGACGGAGAAGCATCTCGTCTCAAGAGTCGATTCAGCCAAATTACCAAAAAAAAAAAAACATTTTCTTACCTACTTATTTTTTCTTAAAGGAATACTTCACCCACAGAATGAATATTTGTACATCAGTTAGTCATACCGTGTTACCTTGAATTCCTGGAGAAAACTTTTTTTTTTTTTCGCATGCCTCCACAGAAACAGAAAAACATATTGACTGATATATTGATTGGGGTCCACATTTAACAACAGCAAAACTATATCAAAACATCAGTCTACAAACTCTCACACAATTTGCGCAGTGTAATCGAAGTCTCATTCATCCAGTCATATGCTCATTATTTCCCAGACAGGCAGCTCTTTTGGAGGGGGTACTGAGCGGAACAGGAAACTTAACTATGCTTGCTTCAAAGCCAGACTCCATTAACAAAGCTAGTAATTTTACCTAGCTGGACACAGGAGCTGCTGATCTACCACTGCCTCTGTCAGTTTGTTTGTGTTACAGTTACTGAATTTGAACTAACCCTTAAACACCCTAAAGTCACACAATACAAACAAACTAACTGACAGAGGCAGTGGTAGACCAGCAGCTCCTGTGTTCAGCAAGGTAAAATTACTGTTTTTGTCAATGCAGTCTGGCTTTGAAGCGAGCATAAATTCACTTTCAGTTCAGTCTTGAATCGTAAGGTTTCAGAAAAAATCCATGTATTTGGGAAGTACTGAGCATAAGACTGGATAAATAAGATTTGGATTATACTGCACAAGTTGTGTGAGAGTTTTTAAACAGATGTTTTGATACATTTTTGCTGTTGTTAAATGTGGTTCCCAATCAATCAACAAGTCAATATGTTTACCGTTTGCCGTGGAGGCATACAAGAAAGTTTCTCTCACAAAATTTAAGGTAACACAACATGACTGATTTACAAATGATCATTTTGTAGGTAAAGTATTTCTTTAATAGTATCCAGCCATGCAGATAGTTTTGGTTTAATTTATGCCAGGTTTGATTCATCTGTCTGAGATTTCTGACACCACCCCCAACACAATGGACGTGAATCCTTTTTTAATTTGTGGTGTACTGAAAAAAAAATGGCACTTCAAAACTTAACTCTAACTTAGAGTTAACAGTTTTTTTAGATTATTTTTTGTCTTTTATTTTAATAGAGAGAGACAAGAAACATGGGGAGAGAAAGAGAGGTATGACATGCAACATATGCCCCTGTTGTGGTTGTGATATACCCCTTAACCCCTTAGGCTACTATTTTTCCAGTATAGCACCACAGCAATGAAAACACTATTGTGAGGACCATTGTATTCAGGTGGAGGAAGAAATCTAAGAAATCTCAAAACCCGGACTGGCAGGTAAGAGTAGAGGTAAGTAAGAACTGTGCTTTTATTATGGGGAAGTCTGGT